TTTTCGGATAATCCTACCCCCCATCATCCGGCAAGATAATCTGACCAGATTATCCGGCCAGATAACCCATGCCACTTAGATTTTTTTTCATTATCAAGCGTTGGTACTACTGAAATTACGAGGCGGAGTGGGTTTACGACAATGCTTCTGGATGGCGGCGGTAACATTTGATAGCGCAACGAGTGGTGGTCCGCCGTTGTGTTTTTTGTTACACTGATGCACATTTGGGACCGTGCGGTATAGGTGTGTGGACCGGCGACACAACATGGAGTGAGTGCATGCGGTGACCGTTGAGGCTCGCAGAACATACGGTTTTCAGTCAGGGCCGCCATTATTTTTCTTGCGACAATAGGAGCGAGCATTGTTTATTTCGGGACCATCCGGTGCTGTGGCGGTAACGTGGGACCACTTGCGGAATTTTGGGACTAGGTGTGACTGATTTTGAGATCGGGACAGACATATTGATGTGACTATTGTGAGCGGATGTGTTGATTGGAGGTGGTGTGGACTTGCCGTTGGTTGGGGAGTATCATTGGTGATTAAAGTGCAGTTAAGGCTGTGTTGGGACAACCAGGGACATTGGAACCGGTCTAAGCACGAATTAGTTTGGGATATTGGGACCACATGAGAACTCGTTTGTCGGAATACCCTCCTGGATGGCTATCTCGCTTGAGGGTTTTTTTTTGTGGTCCAACCCCTGCTCATTTGAACACTTGAGGGAGGACATGGACCGTGACTCAGGAGAAAGACCACACCTTATGGAGTTGTGAGGTTTATGATTTCATGTGAGCCACATATTTTCATATTCAACGACTGTCATTTTCTTTTGATTGGAATATTACTTGACTTTCTTAAGTGAGTCGGCCCAAACTTCACCCAAGGTCAGTTGAACCCATACTTTGCTTGACGCTATTTGTTTTGAATGTTCAACAGAAAAGGTAGAGGAAAGTTGTGCGAGTCATGTGTGTGAATGAAAATATCTAACTTTAGGTATGATTTTTTTATTTTTTTTTCCAAAACTTGTTTGTTTTGGATTGATGTGCAGGTAGGTAGAAGGATACTTGTATAGGAGATTGATTATACCTATTTTCCTCTTTCTACCTTTTGCCTACCTGCATGTTAAAAACACTTGTATTTTGAAATGAATAATTTCATCGGATACGACGAAAGAAAACTTGTGACATAATGAGGATGAAGATGAACAAACTTAGTTTTCCCTTAGGTTGACCTTTTTTATTCCGAAGGACCTCATCTTTCTGCACCCGTCCATATGATTCTTGTTTTCTATTACTTCTGACTTTTTTCGTGTAAGTTACACGGAATTTATAAAAAAACGAGAATACTCAAAAGTTAGGGTCTCGTTAGACACTCCTAAAAGAATCCTTAAAAATCATTTTTTATGACTCGTCCTAAAAGGTTCCCCGCGGCCCGTTTTCATACGTGTATACGCAGCCGCGCCGCCGATGTCCGTCCATTCCTCGGCGGTGTCTGTGGTACAGAATGCGGTGGACCTTGGGCGGGAGTCGACGGATCGGTGAAAAGCGCGGTTCCCCAGAACTTCAAAATTTTGAATTCGAATTCTCACGGGCACGTGCGCCGTGAAAAAGACGGCGCCTCCCTGCCGACGCGTGTGACCTGAAAAAGACGGCGCCTCCCTGCCGTTCGCCGCACGGAATCCATCTTTCGAGTGTACACAACTTGCGAGGAGCGTGCACATGATCGTGTGAGCCGCACGTTCACCTCCGGCGTGTGTACCGTCCTTTAGAAGCGTGGAGCAGCGGACACGTGTTCGTCTCCTGTGCCATTGTACAACAGCGTTGGCATCTTGGACTCCGGCGTTGTTTGTTTATGACGGCAGGGTTCCGCGGTGGGCGTGTCTGAGGCGGCTGTCGAAGGTGTGACTTGGCAAACCGTGCGAGGATTAGCAGAGACGGACAGTCATGGCTGCTCAAACGGTCTACGTGAAGAAGAGATCGACGCTGTGGCAATGGCGGTGACTGTTGTCGTCGTGAACACGATGGACGATAAGGAGTCGTCGTCACGCGACATGCTGATGCGGCTCCGTCAAAGAAGAGCGCTGTTGCAGAGCGTTGCAGAGGCGCTGGATTGCACGACGATGTGTGAGGCAGTCGTCCAGTTGTGTGTCGCGCTGACGTCTTGCGTTTTCTCGCGGCAGACTCCTCGATGGTGCATTAAAGGACGGACTAGCGGGACATGGGAGGACCTCCGGCTTCGGGACGACGCGACGGACGAGTACTTCCGACAGAAGTTGCGCATGTCGATGGCCATGTTCAACCACATCGTAGCCGCGTGCGCCGCATACATGGAGAAGAAGGTGACGCACTATCGAATGCCATTGCCAGTGGAGCAGCTGATTGCTTTCGCGTTATACAGGTGGGCGTCCGGAGAGACGTACGAGAGCGGCACGTCAGCATTTGGCATCGGCAGGGCAACTAGACTGCAGGCCGTCCGTGACGTCACTTCGACGCTGCTGCAGGCGTACCCCGACGCGATAAAGTGGCCAATGGGCAGGAGACGTGCGCAGATTCTGCGCGCTTTCCGTGAGAAGGGTTTCCCAAACTGCTTCGGCGCTATCGACTGTACACACATCTACATTGACAAGCCCGCCGGCGCACCTTTCGAGAACTACTACGCAAACAAAAGTTCTCCGTGCAGGCGCAAGTGGTTGTGGATTTGGATTTGCGGATCCTCGACGTCTACGTGGGATACCCTGGAAGTGTGCACGACGTCCGTGTCCTGCACAATTCCCAGTTGTTTATGCGTGCAGAAAGTGGCGAGCTGTTCGACGCAACTCCGAAGAATTTGTCGCACGGTGTCATCACACGAGGCTACCTGCTGGGCGACAACGGTTATCCAGTTGCCTGTCCGTGGATTGTGTCGTCGTATGGAGGAATCGACCAAGGTGCTGACGAGGAGCGCTTCGACACGCGGCAAAAGGTGGCACGGGGGTGTGTGGAGAGGGCATTCGGCCGACTTAAGTGCATGTGGCGTTTGTTCTTGCGCACCCATAAGACGAACCTAGAGACCTTGCCACAACAATTCGTGGTTGTCTGCACTCTCCACAATATCCTCCTGGACGCAGGGATCGACTTCGATGAGAACCTTCTGTGGGAGGTGGATGCGAACGGCGTTCGGCGTAGAGTGGACTTGGGCATTATGGGGAACGGCGCACGCGGGCGCGGGACGATGCACAAACGTGGAAGGTGAATTGTTGAGGGATGCACTGCGAGACCGCCTAGCTTTGATGTAGGACCGTGCGGTAGGGAGGTGGTGCACACGGGGTGGTTCGATCGGTAGGCAGCTGGAGTTATTACGTGGTCCATGTCCATGGTCGTCGTGCTCATGGTTGGTTGGTCGTTCGAACGGTGGCATGATTGTCGTCGATGAGTTCACATTATCGTTTTCATGTTGTTGATGGCTACCTAGTTCGCACAGTTGTGCGAAGTTTAAAGATTGGAAGAACCTTTTTTTTTGCCAGTGTGTGTCGTCGTCGTTAGGACTTTTTGTCTTTTATATATTTTTCCTGTCTTCAAATCGTTTGTGATGAACGGTGTCGCGCGATGGGAAACATGGTTGTTGTTATTGTCTTTTTATTGTGTTTTTTTTTTTTTTTAATATATTTTGTTTTTTTGCTATCCATTTGTGGAAATGTTGTTTATCTTTATCCTTTTTTTGTGCATATCTTCATTTCAGTTTCCATGACCGGTTTCGTGTGCTGTTGTGGTGGGATGACATGTGCAACATGCTTTTGTACGATCCCGTCATGCATTCTCTCAATCCGTGATCAATGCATGTCTATTACATGTCGTGAATCCAATACGAAGAACAAGAAGAAGTGCAACGCAGACAAGGACACTTCATGACACGCACGACATTTGTGTCCCACAAAAGACATGACGACATTCATGACACCGACATATGACAGAGTCGTGAGAGTTGTCACACGCATTGCAAAAACGAAAACAACAATTAACCGCCACGCGCTTCAAATCGTCCGAGACAACGAGGAGAACCATGCATTGATAAAACAACCAAGTGCGCTGAACGCAGAAATAAAAAGAAAATTAAAAAAAAAAAAAAAAAAAACGAAAAACAAAGGTGCAAACCTTTCATCTCGTGCTGGCGCTACTGGCCGCACACTAAACACCTACGCCACCGTCGAAGATTCGTCCGAATCCCTCCGGCCAACACGCTAACCACCGAAACTACAATGACACAATCGAACTGAATCAACCCGTGCTTATGCCACGGGCGCCACAGTAAACCTGTGCACAATGATGAAGGAGGACTCTGGCGAATCCTGACGGCCGACACGCTAATCAGGTGCACCACGCACGATACTCCAATCACACGACAGCCCGTCACGTCTCACCACGCGTACATGCACCTTCGTTCTTAGAAGCGTTGTCTCCCCGCTTTCCACCCGCATACCAACCCGCCTTATGCGTCGTCCTTTCCTTCGCCTTTGATGCCATCATCGGCGGGGCCCGAACCCAACCAATCCAGCCTCTTCGCATCCTCCGGCCCCTTGATGGTCACGTCGTGCGCAAATCCGATGTCGCATGGTGCTTAATCAGGGATGTAGTCGGGGTACACTCCGAGCGTGGCTTTCGCCTTCCCAAGCCTCTCCGTGACGACATTCGCGGCGCGGACGACGGATCGTCGATGATCGAAGGACCGATGCATGGAGGTGATTAGTGTCGGCCTGGCAACGAGATCCGCGAAGTAAAATGCTTCGTAGTGACTGAGCAGATCGTCTCCCGCCATGCGCATAATCCACATGGACGCCGCCAGCAACAGCCTGAAGCAGTCAGCCACCCGACATAGATGCTAGTAGGAGATGAAATCACCGTCGATGTGAGCGCCCATTTGCACCGCCGCGCGGAACGAATGCGCGATGCTGATGACCGTGGACTCCTGGTACGCAGCCATGTCGTCGTCCTCAGGTCTGTCCTCGATATTCGCGTCGGCGTACCAAAGTGGAAGGTCCATGTTAAGATCTATCGTGTGGGCGCAGATCGCCGCGCTAACGACTTTGCGCCTCTCCTCGTCGTACCACATTGCACGCGCAATGTCCGTCGCTACGGACTCCAACGAGTACTGGAAAGCAAGGTGGTACCCCCTTGGGCGGTTCCCGGACTTGAAAACCCAGCCGTGCAAGATGCGCAGAGCTATATTCTCCACCGCCGCCGGACGGGAGATCGCTTGCAGGAGTTGTGATAAGTCTGCGATCCTCGCCACCCTCATGCTGGATTTGGGGATGACAACGCTCCGCGGAAGTTCAGGTGGCGGAAGGCCGCTGGCGATGGCGACGAAGTACTCTTTGGTTTCGTGGACGATGTTGTAAAGTTTGCGTCCTTCACCCGTCGTCGAGAAACATTTGTCATCCACCCAAAGAAGCGCACGGTCGATAAGGTCTTTCGTCATGACTCCCCTGCGTCCCCGGCTTGAAGCGTGTTGGTTCATGTTCTGTCCACGACCCTCCTCTCTCACCGTCGCCGGAACTACAGCCTCCTCTCTCGCCGCCGGAACGGGAGGGACAACACCTGCAACAGCCACACCCGCGCCACCTGTCGCCTCGCGCCTTGCTGCACGCACGTCTGCCACGACTCCCCCACCACCACCTCGTTCGCAAGACGCACCATCACCACCGTCGTTGCGCTGACGCGGCTGAGACAGCGTGCAGGGCAGTGCACCTGTGATCGTCCTTTCGTCCTCCGCAGCGCGAGCCGTCGACACCGCCGCTGTGGTCGCTTGTGTCGCACTGCGCAGGCAACGTTTTTCCAAAGGCTCATCGTCTTCGTCGTCAAGGTCCACCACCGCACCCTTCTCTTTCCACGTTTCGCGGACACGCAGCTGCTGCGCCTCCGGCGGAGGGGTTGACATCCTCTTCGAAGCGCTCTGATCCAGAGTATGCTGCCTGGCACTCTCCCGTCCTGCAGACGCCGTTGCCTCGCCTTGATCGTCCTCCGTCATGAAATCGTCGTCGTTGACCTCTTCCGCGGCCTGCGCCCAACCTCGCGCACCACGACGCGACAAACTTGCTGACGCATCATCCAAACGTAGCCTCTTCGCCTTCGGGACGTGCCGCCGACCTTTCCCCTGGGCTTGGGTTTCGTCAAGCGCAACGTCGCGCTTCTTGCCAGGGGCGTTCAATCGCGCAGACATGCTCGCTGGGGACCCCCACAAGTGATATTGGTGTAGCGCTCGGCTGACTTATGTTGTTTCGTCAAAAAAGATGTCACCCGTCTCTTGCCAGCCTAGCGAGACAGGCTATCCCGACGACGCTGAAGATGTGTCCTCCGCTGCAGGATGACGACGACGCGCAAGCGCACCACGGAAGGATGATGTCCCCGGCGACACCCGTCCTTTGCGATGGCGGGAGTGCTCCGCGGCGAGAAGACTGACTGCCAGAAGAGCGGAAGCGATGACGGTGAAAAGCGTTGTGGCACTGCAGATGCGCGGCGGGAAGTGTGCAGCTGGCCCGACGAGAAGCGTTGTGGCACTGCAGATGCGCGGCGGGAACCTTGTAGCGCGCCAGGCGAGAAGCGTTGTGGCACTGCAGATGCGCGGCGGGAAGTGTGTACCTGGCAAGGCGAGAAGCGTTGTGGAATCACCCTCGTGCGGACGACATTTATGCGGCTCCGGACGCGCAGCACTGAAATGACACTAGCAGAAGGACCGTCCACGACGTCGCATCCTCGTGGCGGGAAAACTGAACGACGACGGCGACACGTGCTACCGCCATGCCTGTCCAGGCCTGTCATTATCAACCTCACGAAGCCGCGATAAGGCCCTTCCACGTTCGGTCGACGTGCGCGAATGCACTCCGGAAGGACGAAAACAAAGACGGCCCACCTTCACCCTCGGACACCCCATCACGCGTTCCCCTCTCAGCAAACGACCCCTCCATAACCCCCACCCCCCCCACCCCCCAATTCCCCCTCACAACCCGCTTCCACAGCAAACCGCGCCGTCCACAAACCCCATACAACACACCCCCTTTCGACAGTGGCTATGTGTGTGTCGATCAACCAAAACGCAGACGATGGGTGGTCCTCGAAAATGCAAACTACCCCCCCCAAAAAAAAAAATAATAATAAAACACACACACACACACACACACACACACACACACACACAAACACCCACCCCCCCCTCTCGTCATGACCGCAGGATCCGACCTTCATCTCCCGCCAAGTTCGCACAAAACCTCACCCTCTCGCCGCCCCCAATTCTCCGTCGACTACTTGGCATTGCTTCCGCGGCAGCCATCCACGAGCATCGCCAATGGCAACATCATGAAATTCACAACCGAAAAAAAAAAAAGAACTCGATGACGACRGCAAAGAACCAACTTTGATCAACACAGCACGCAATGGCCTACATGGCCGACCGACCACGGATGGCGGCAACGATCTCCAACAGTGCTTGGCACATCATCCTCTGCGTCTCATCGAACGCTGCATAGTGCGTTTTTTGGACGACAACTTCCTGCTCCAATATGTCGCATTGCCTCGTGAAGATGATGCATTGCCGCTTGCTAGATGATTCGATCGTCGACGACATCAGTGCGCCATGGCGTTCCATGACATCGGAGATGCACTCGAATGCCTGCTGACGCGCGTTCTTCTGCTTCCCATCTCCCGCCCCGCTGCCTACGTTGCTGTCGGACTCCCACGCAGAAGAACGCTCGTCAGGGCATCCTTCACCGACCGCCTCACTACAAACAGACTCCCCTCCACCCGCTCCTCGCCTGGGCAGGTGCACCCCATCCAGACTGCCGATGTCGGCAATGTTGGGAGGGAAAATCGTGTGGTTCCCCACCATGTCTGCGTGGATCTCGTTGTAGAGCGCCCTGTCCATCCGGAACTTGAAGTTGTGCTCCTTCCTCTCTTCGTTCGTCAACCTGAAAAAAACTAGCCGCCCGCTGGCATTCTGAAACCTCTGAATTTTCTTGTAGTTCCGAAACAGATTGTCCCACTTCTTCATGCAGTCGTCAGCATCCTTCGTCCTCCCCGCATTCGCCATCCGCTTCGACATGTCCTCCCACTTCCACTCTTTCGTCTTCATCCGCCCGTAATTGTGAGACAAGCCGGCGAGGTGCATATCTTGCTCCCGCTTGCATCGCACCAGGAGCATTTGGTTTTCTGCAGACCAGTACGCCGGAGACTTCCTGGCGTCGTCACTTACGCCACCTCTGCCTCCACGGCCAACGGATCGACCACGGACACCACCTTTATCACGTCCTCTCCCCCTCCCAGCCGTCTTCCCCAAAGGCCGAATGGGAACGTCGTCGTCGTCGTCCCCCGCTTCCACGTCTTCCCTCATCCCTTCATCTGCGTCGTCACCGAATCCAACGTCGTCTTCGCCTCCATCGCTGTGTGCCCGCATGTTCGACACTCCACGTGTTATGTTCTCCACAGTGGGTCATGGACGTACCGGCGCTCTGCACGTTCCCTCGTCCCTCACTCCGGATTCGATCGGTGTTGTGCACGCACGCATCAACGAACGTGCACCGCCCATGCGCAGGGGCCCTGCTGCCACCCCGGGGGGTGCGGGCCAGGTCAGTGTCAATCGATCAACGGACGGAGCTGTCGATCCATGCTGCCGTCCTGTTGGCGATGGCCCGACTGCATCAGTCATGGGTGCAGCGCGACGAAGTGTGGACTGCTCCGTATGCAGACTTCCACCATGCTCAACGCCACGTGCCGAACGATCTCCGTCGATGATGAACGTAGGACTCGCCTCCCTACCGCTGCCAGAACACAACCCGAACCTCAGATCAACTCCTCCGTCGTCGTCGTCCCGCAAGCCTTGATGCAACAATGACGTGAACTCTCCCCCTTCGTCGGGAGCCGACCCGCTTGATCGCACCGTCTGCGACCACAACTGAGTCGAGCAGCTAGCGAGAAGCAACGTCGAAAGTTCTTCCTTCTCCGGCTTCTCGTCCGACGGGGGCAATGGCGTGTCCCACGACTCCAGATGGGTGTACATGGAGGGGTCATACCGCCTTCGAGGCTCCGCCGCAGAAGATCAACTCCTCCCTGACCTGCGGCAGCAGCCGGTCGTGCCTGCATGCCCGCCATTAGACGTTCGCCTACTGCCTGTCTCGTCGAAGCCCTTCTCTTGCGTTGTTGTTTCCACGGCCGCCACGAAAAACACGCATGGAGGAAGAAGACGACAATGAGTACTAGCAGAGGCAATCTCCTCCGCACGTCAGCCATGAAAATTCACCTCTGCAGCCGCCCTCGCACGTGACCACTGCAGATGTGTGTTTCGACATGCCCGGGACAAGGGCGCTCGACCTTCATATGCGGACAACCATCACAGAAGATGACGAACACGCCCGCCTTCCTTTTGAAATTCGATCGTTGCAGCCCGCGCTGCCCAAAAGCGGCTCCGTCTGTCGTCCTGCGCACGTCGATGTCGCACTCCTCATCTCGCAAGCGACCCAATGGTCCAGTACGGGCATCCACCCGCGAACGCTCGGCCCTCCGCGCTCCACCCCCTCTGCCAATGGCTACCGTGCGTGGCCGTTGCCCGCGTCGAGCCGCAGAAAACCTTCGATGTCCGACCACCGACTCGACAGACCACTTGTGGACCACCAACGAGTGTCGACGGTGCCATGCGCATGACACAACGACTCCGTGAAACGCGGGAATCCTAAATTTTTCAGTAGGTCGGAGGCTACTGGAAAATTTAGAACGATTTTGCCAGGGGAATCCTAAATCTTTTAGGACTCGTCCTAACGCCGTTTTCACATTTTCGATCTTCGATTTCGTTTTAGGACTGTGTGCAACGAGGACGCAATCCTAAAAAACGGCATTTTTAGGCGTCTCTAACGAGACTCTTACTCGTAGTGAACGAGTTTTCTCTCTATAAGGCTTCTGGAGCGGGGGTTCGTTGCTTTAGGAGTTGACTCAGAATGAACCATTCTACCGGGGGGGTGTATTTGTCGATTCGGTGGATACGGCCTGACTTTTGACATCCAAGTTTTGTGCTCGGCGAGGAGTACACTAAACCACTTCCTAGTGGGAGAGACATGCAACACTTCAAGTAATGAACCTGATAAAAAAATTGTTCGCAAAGCAGTCTGTCATCGAAGAAGATTATGAATGTGTGGAGACGGGTGTGTCCGTGCCTAATTTTAGGTCGGCGTTAAGGTGAAATGAATGACTTTGGAGGCACATTTCATCAAGTCAACACTGATGCAGATCGATTACCTTGTCGGTTGCATCGATGTTATTATCAGAGCGAACTCTTCGTTGGTGGTTGAATGATTTTTTTATTTATGAAGTTCGACCCGATGTGGTCGGGTTTATTTTGGTCTTGTGTTATTGAATATATCGGTTATGATCACAAATTGTATATATTTCTGTTGACTACAGTCGACTTCTTTTGAAGTAACTGAGTGCGGTTATTATTACTTTCGTTTGATTGTGTGTCGAAGGGAGTAGGATTCAGTTGAGGGTTTTACGCTTGGTTGAGACCGTCCTAGTCGACAGACGTACGCTTTGTACTTAGGAGATGAGCGTCCCGAGGGAAGAACGACGTTCGGGTCCACTTGTCGTTAACCAAGCGTATCTATACTACAGCGAATGAGCAAATGCCCTCAGATGATCTACCTCTGCGATTGCATCTAAAAACTTTCATACGTGGGTCAGTCGTTCGGTAGGGATACACCCCATGAGTGGTGACAACCCCTTAGGGAAGGTAAGTTGTGCCCCACAGAAACCTATCCTGTTGTAGGGGACCGTAAAAGTACATCTAGCGCACTCGGCTAGAGCTGTGAGGAATGACTCGACCGCGGCCGTCTCAGCGGTTCACGGGGTTACTATGCGTTGTTTTCAAGTTGTCTCTTATTTTGTTTTAGTTTACTCTTGTTTGACATTACCGGAATGGCTCCCCCGCTTTGCAAAAAGGCGAGAGCCAATGCGCATGACACTGGGGTATCGTGAGAACAAGGGAAAAAGGCCTGTGCAGAGGGGGAAGTCGGGGGAAGGGAGGAGGTGTTTCAAGGGACGTGCAATGTGGAGGGGGTACCAGGGAGGGGGGCAAAGGAGAGGACAAAGGGAGGGGTTGTGGCATGGGGAGAGAGATCAGGGGGCGGAGGCTAGAAGAAGGTGTTGGAAGTGAAGAAACAGGGGGTGGAATACTGAGGGATAAGGAAGAGGGGGTATGGGGACGGGGGGAAAGCAGGAAGGGGTAATGGTAGGAATGGGGTTAAGGTAACTCTAATCTAGTTCTTTAGTAAAGACGCAGGGCCTAAAATGGCTCAGCTTCTACTTTGTCCTCTTGTGTGGACCTTCCAACAGCGATGGGTGTTGCGGCCCTCCGACGGACCTTTCAACCGAGTTGCCAGGTAATGCGTCCTATTCCACATAAGAGAACTTCCTACTCGCTACTTATCTCATCCTGACTATTCCTAATGTTCTCCAAAAGTCACCTACTCTGATGCTTTCAAAAGTCCTCGGCTCTTCTCCTGAGTGGGCATAAGGTCAGGATGGACTAATGCTTGTCATACCCTCAGGAGCGTTCGGCTTTTTCCATCTTGCATTCACAAGTCCCTCCATTCTACAATGCTGTGTAGCTAAGGGCCTCGTCGGACGGTAAAAAAAACGAAAAGAAAAACGAAATCGTTTCGTGAGTGAGTCGCCGCACAGCTTACACATGATTTTTGTCAGGAGCAATGCGCGAATTCTATTAGAAAAAGGATTCGCGAGGAAAACACATGGAAGACTGCCACCCAGCCTGCAAAACACACAAACCCGTAGGTCCTCGACGACGATGGTGGAAGCCCTGTGAATCCTCACGAGTGCACCGCAAAGATCCAAACGGTATCCATCCAAATTCTTGGACCGTAGTGCTTGCCAGGCTTCACAGAAACTCGTTAGGGCAACACCGCATGGATATTCGCGTGTGCTATGAGGCAGTGAGCTATGTAACACCCGCGGACGCGTCCGCGAGGTCGAGCTCGGATCGCGGACCCAAATGCGTCCGCATCCGTGGCCTACCTGGTCCGCACCGCGAACACGATTTTACACGAATTTTTCTGAATTAAATAATAGGTAGAAAAATATATATATATATATGGGGTTGTAGGGAATTTTAAGCCCTACAACCCCTTTTTTTTTTTTTTGAATCCGACTTTGTTTAGGATTTAAAAAAAATCAAAAACGAAATTGGATTTTAAGATAATTAAAAAATATATATATAAAGAAAAACAGAATTTTTTTTTGGTCATTTTTTATCATGAGATATATGGTCCGTGAGTTTACCTGTAATTTTTTAGAAATAAATTTATGTTTTTTGCAGAAGTATGAGGTGTTTTGAAAAAATGCA